GGTTGGTATTAGCTATGTCTGAAGCTTGAGTGATATTTGAAGAGTTTGGTGGATCCCGCTTTGTGATGGTGTCAGAATTGGGAGCATGTGCAAAGTGGACTACCCCAGACCTAACTGATACTGGTCAGCATGGGATCCCAGAGGAGGACACAGAAGGGAAAAGCAGCCATGGTATCATGGTAGGTCTTCCTTTCCATATGCCTGGGATCAGGGGAGGGCTGTCCCTTCCCTCTGCTTTCAGATCACAGCTTTTCCTTCCTCATGCAAAATCTCTCTTGCCTTCTGGAATGCATTCCTTTCCACTGTACCACACATCTTTCAGCTTTTTAGTGTTTATCCATTTCATGGCTCCTCTCACACAGACATCCATATCTCAGGAAATCTGTGAGCTGGATACCTATGTAATCCTCTTCTTTAGCTTTAGAGTGTTCAATGTCCGTAGATAGTACTTTTTTCAACAAATCTTTATTGAGCTCCTCTTAAAGGACAGGCTCTGTATCAGGCCCTGGATTCACCAGCAAACAAAACCAAGTGTCTATCTGCTCCAGTGGTGTTTGCTTTCTTTTTGGGGAGACAAATACATACAAGGTGCTCTGTACTAAGAAGAAAACTAGAGCAAGATATGAGGGTGAGAATGGCAAATTAAAAGGGGGCTGAGGGGGCACTTCTTCTCAGAAAGTGATATAACCAAGACCCAAATGAAGTTAATATAGTAACCCATGTGGGTATATTTACTGTCTAACAAATCATCTTAAAATTTAGCAGCTTAAAGTGACAAATGTGTACATTTCATTTCACAATACCCCAGTGTAAGGAATCAGGGTGTAGCTTAGCTGATGTTTCTGTCTGGGGTCTCTCGTGAAGTTGCAATCCAGCTGTCGGCTGAGACGGCCATTATCTCATGGCTCAATTGGGACTAAAGAATTTGCTGTCCAGAACATTGGTGTGGTTCTTGGTGACCTAGTTCACTGAGGGCCTCCTTTCTTTGCCTCCTAGCAGCTTGCTTCCCCAGCGCAAATGTTGGGAGAGAGGGACAGTATGCCATGGTCTTCTGTCAACAGATCTCAGAAGTGACAGACCATCATTATTTTCTGTCATCCATACCTTAAACTGCCTCTTTACTGACTTGTTTCCCTCATTGCCTAACTGCAATTTCCCAGTCCAGCTTCTCCCTCTTTTCTCGTTTCCCTTTTTATTTGTGCTTCCTAAAAGGAGAGTTTATATTTGCTGTCTTAAGTTTTACAACTTGTCCCCCCTTTCTCTCCTACACATTGGCTCCCTCTCTCGCCATGAACTCTTCTCTGTCAAAGGTGACCTCTGGTGATAAAGACTCTTCTTAATTAAAAAATCTAGTCTAAATTTAGTTGCCTTCTCTTGTGGCACTTAATTCTTTTTCTCTTGAGATGATCTCCCCCCATGATAGCAAATAGATCATATCTTGCCTTTTCCTTCTCTGATGCTGCCCCCTTTCTTGGATCCAGTTCTTTTCCCAACTGTTTAAATGTAGGTATTTAAGAGTTTTTTCTTCACTTTTTGTTTTTAGTTTACTTTGTCTTCAAAGCTGACTTCTGCCAAAACTAAAATAATCCATGACCCCTCCTGACACCACCGCCATATACAAACACTACACACACACACACACACACACACACACACACACGTTGTTCCATCTGTATTCTTTCACTCTTTATTTTTGGTTAATGGAATCCAGGCACCCTCTAGAACTTTTCCTGCCTTTCCAAATTCTATAATTCATAACACATGTTAATTCTGTCTTTTAACTCCCTCTTGCCTCTCCCTAGTTCTCTAGTTAATGACCTTTGCCCTAGATCAAGCCCTTCCTGTTTTCACCTGGTCTACTGTACTTGTATGGTAACTGATTACCTGATCTCTGTTTTGTTCTATCGTCATGTCTTTGATGCTGCTACCAGTGGTTAGCATAACTCCTGCTTGTCAACATTTCAATACCTGGGTCACCCTGCCGTCATTGGCTCTCTGTCCTCAGAGCCCAGATCCCTTGCTTGGCGCACAGTGCATTTTGCCATCTGGGCTCCGTTGGTCTGCTTGGCACAACTTTGGCTCCCCTTACCCTTACATTTAATGCTTCTGCAGTATGAAAATTCTGACGTTACCCTCAGAAGACCATGCTGTCTTATGCCTTTATGCTTTTATTTCTTTTGTTTTCCTGAAATGTATTTTATTCTCCCTTTTCTCCTTTAACCCACAGGTCATTCAAATTACAGGTTCCTGTCTTTGTTTTGTGCCTTCTTTGTCCTCAACCTTGTCCCCAGACAATGGAGTTCCTTTCCTTTTCTCCCCCCTACCTCCTGCCCCCTTGCATAGGCTGCAGTTCTTGCTTTTATTTGATTATTTATCCTGTCTCTCTCTGGTTGTGTGAGCTTTGAGGGCAGGGTCTCTGGCCCATTCACTCTTGTGGCCCCTCAGTACTTAGCAAAATGCCTCACAGGTGGTTATCTAGTAAATATGTATAAATAACACGTATTTTGACTGAGTTAGTATGGCTTCACCTATGGTTTTATAGGGTAGTTAAGACTCCAGAGACTCCTTCTTATCCTTGCTTCAAAAACATTGTCGTGTTCCTTGGTAGAATTTAGCACTGTGTTAGGCAGGAGAAGTTGAGAAAACATAAAATGCCTGCCAACTTAAAGTATCAAATACCAAGTAATTAAAAGCTCTTCTGAAGCCAGTCCTAAGGTATTTATTTTGCACATTAAAAATATCTTGCTGTTTCCAGCTATACACACAGCTACCAAATTTTTAAAAGTTGTTTGTCTCAACTCCAAATAATCTCCCATAGAAATAATGTTACTTACAGCATTTCAGTATTTCTAGATCAGGGTGCAGTCTGGAGACAGAAAGCGCACAATTGAGCAGGGACAATTAAATCAATGAGAGATTGGTTACCATGGGTAAGGAAAGCTGAAAAATATGGGGGCACAGCACCTGGGGAAGGAACAAATCTGGGAAGGGTTCTACTCCCTGCCTCTCAAAGGCTGGGACCCGGTCCTCGTTGGAGATGATGGGGCATGTCCTGCATGGCAGAGACATTTCACTGAAGCACCACACTAGTGGGACTCAGGGGTGGGAGGGGGTCTGCCTTCTGAGGTGCTGCACTGCAGAACTCACTGGAAATCTGCCAGTGGGGGTGGTGCACTGGGAAGTCACACTCAGGCCTGGGGAGAAGCTGTCCAGGGGTTGGTACCACATGCCTCCAGGTATGAGAAGAGAACCAGAAGGAAGAGCCCTCTTCCTCCAGTGTCCCTCCAACACCCTGTAAAGTGGTGCTAGCTGACACAGGCAGGGTACTGGAAGGGTAGCACAGAAAAGCAATAAATTGACTACTTTGACCACTGAGCTTATCTATGTCCCCATTTAACAATATACCTGTATCACAGGAGTTAGAAAAAATACATAAATGTAATTTATCTTGAATTCTAGTGCCTAGTGAGAGTTGTGCAGTTAGATGAAGATTAGAAAGGAGATGAAGGCACTCCTATGTGTATCGAAGTTGTTAATGGTATTCTTGGGCAAGGTACATCATTAAATGTCTTCATTTTCATTGATCTGCGTAAAATGCATTATTGTTACATCTGTCACTTAAGAATTAGTTGCAGCTTAGAAACCTAGAAAATAAGAGTATTTTATGTAATAACTGAGCCACAGCTGGTAAAGAGGAAGTGTTGTGTGTAGGTCTTAAATGTTTGCTCAATACAGAGTTTACAACCCCTATTTCAGTACATTAGTCGACCAAAATGTTTGAAGAATCAGGAATCTTCTGGCCAGTGAGCAAAGATAGGAATACATATTTTGTGTGAATGACTTTAAAAGGAGAAAAATAAAATGTTGGAGAAAGGTTTGGAGTTAGGTGACAGTGAATGGAACTAGTGAGGTCAGTTTATATGGAATGTGTGTCCTGCTTACTGACATGCAGACAGACAAGAGCCTACCTAGTCTAAGTAGTGGGCTCATAACTTGGGGTGCCAGTTCTTTGGGTAAAAGTTAACGGATTTTTGTTTCATAAGCTTCACAGATGAAACTCCTGGGACTGCACTGAATAATCCTACATGCTCTTTGGGAAGAATTTGTCATTATAGGAAAAGAAGGAATAAAATCAGTCTTACCTGATTCATAGTGGATTCTTAGGACTATTGATGAGAAAATCGGTATTTGAATCTTGACTGATATTTGCTCATTTTGGGGTCTGTAACTTAGAAGAAAGGAGATGCTTAAGGCCAAGTGTGAGTTGTTGCACAGTAAGACCTGATTATCCATTTCTTCCTGTTTCATGAACATTCCTCTCCTTTTCTCTCTCTCCCTCTCTCTCTCTCCCACTCTCCCCCTCCCCCTCATTGTCTTTGTATTTTATTTCTTAACCTGGTATTAGCAGACTGCTAGATGCTTCTTAGAGAATTTGCTTTTCTGTCATGCATTTTTACCAGCTATGAGACATGTGGGAGAAGTTGGTGGACTAGTCAAGTCAGGGTTGTAGAAGGTTATACCCTAACCCCCAGCTGTGGGGCAGTTTTGTTTAACAGTTATACATGCTAAGTATTGATTTGGATACTAGACTTACCACACTATTGGACTTAAGATCCTGACTCAAATAATTGGAACTCCTCTCCCCGCTAAAAACCTAGCCTAAACCCTTAAGTACAGATAAAAACGCTGAGTTGATGTCTCCAGTTACCTACTTAACTCTGAAAAAATTCAGTTGCAGAGATGCCTAGGACCTTCCAGTAGAGGTGCATGTAGTTCGGGTTGGCTCATGTTATAGATTTCTCACCATTCATTACTGCCTCTTATAAACGTTTCGTCATTTTAGAAGATTTGGGTCCTCCATTATGTTATTAGTTACCATGTGCTACAAAACATTTTTAATCATTGTAGAATATTTGTCCTCATTCTGAATAGATGGCTAAAAGCAAGTGTTCTTGCCCAGTTATAAATGGTTTTTTGGTTTGCTTTTTTGTGTCTTCTAGGTTTTTCTGAAGAGTGACCGAGTGGCAAGAATGGTTCAGAGTGGAGGATGTTCTGCTAATGACTTCAGAGAGGTGTTTAAGAAAAACATAGAAAAACGTGTGCGGAGTCTGCCAGAAATTGATGGCTTGAGCAAAGAGACAGTGCTCAGTTCATGGATAGCCAAATATGATGCCATTTACAGAGGTGAAGAGGACTTGTGCAAACAGTCCAACAGAATGGCCCTAAGTGCTGTGTCTGAACTGATTCTGAGCAAGGAACAACTCTATGAGATGTTCCAGCAGATTCTGGGTATTAAAAAACTAGAACACCAACTCCTTTATAATGCATGTCAGGTAAGTGGTCCATATTTCCTATTGCCCCTGTCTCAGAAGGCACATCAAATGTTTAAAAACCTGTGAAAATGTATGTTTTATAATCAGTTGGCTGAAGAGTTGAGTGGAAATGAATTTTAGTAAATTGAGTAGTTGGTATTTGAAAGAAACTTTGAAAGATGCATTTGATGGAGAACCTTTTATCCCGTGAGTAGTTGTTCCCATGCATCCTATTTGAGGACATCAGATTTTCACCTATTGGGTATATATAGGGCATGCCCCAAGTACAAAAGTGAAAATAATCTGTTATCTGAATAAGTTGGGCGATTTAAAATAAACAGGTATTCCTGAGTGCAAAATAATTTTTTCATAAAGATATGCTGGTCTTTTGAGTTTTATGGAAGTAATTGAAATTTCAAACTTTTTTCTTTAACCCATCCAGATAGAAATGAAGATATTGCTGAACTATGTAATTAAGAGATGACCAAATTAAAAGTATTTTTTCTCTTCAGATGTTATTTGTAACCATACATAGGAAAAATGGAATAAAATATATACCGCACCTTTCATCTTTGGACCCTGTGATTTGTCTAATAATGTAGTCATTTCATATGTGCTTTTTTTTTTTATTTATATATGAAATTTATTGTCAAATTG